GTGCACTCTGAGCCCCCAACTAAAGTAGTAATAATAGCTACTAGCTAGCAATTCGGTAATGAAAAAAATTAAAATAATACTAATAATAATATGGCTAGCAATTTAGTGCTCTCCAAGCTAGAGTTTGGATGCTTGCATTTCCAAGATTGGAGATTGGGCATTATCGAAAGTGCATGTAGAGATGGATAGATAAGGATTAACGGGGAGACTGTTTGTGCCATTCGTGACTTACCTCCAATCCTCTAGTGATTTTTAGGCAGAAGTTCTAGGAACTCAAGATGAGTCTAGTTTAAGCGAGAAACCTGGTGTATCAAAGTAGTAATAATAATAATAATAATAATAATAATAATAATAATAATAATAATAATAATAATAATAGCTAGCAATTACCCTATATGTCCCATTTTATTTGTGGTATTTATTACTCATTGGTCAAACCATCTCTTTCTTCTTTGTTTGTTTTCTTTAAAACAATTGTATCTAATAATACTTTTAATGTAGTTTTTAAATATATAAAATTCACATACCAATTCTAAACTTAATATTATAAAAAAATTAAATTATAAATAACTTCACTCAAGTCTCCTGAACCAAATCCAACACAAAATTGGGCGGGGTTAAGTGAGTACATGCAATAGTAGCTATGGTACTATGGCAAGAGAGGGCCATTGGTTAGGGTTTGAGGGTGCTAGCTATCTAGGGATGTCCTGTGAACACTCATGCTACAAGTACAGTACCCACATTGGAATCCTTTCTTGACTAAATGCTTAATGATTTCAAATAAGACATATTGCCCCTGGAGAGAGATAGGGGCAAACCTTAAGAAATTTTCTAGCTTATCAGTCTGCTTAGATAGCTTGAGGCAGTTTATTTTACCTGCCACAAACTTTACAATAGGAGGACATGCATGCAATTTCTTCACACATATAATAAGATAAGAAGCTACCATATATACATACATACTAGGTTGATATTTATGAGCCAACACCTGTAAATTGAGTGTGTCCCATCTTCTCAAGAGAGGTATATTCTCATCAACATCTAATATAATAGAAATTAAATTAAGAGTTAATTCTATTTTTGTCTTAAATTTATAGGTGACAGTCCATTTTTAGTGTTTTTGTTATCAGAACATCCACTTTTGGTCCTAGTATTATTATGACATGACCATTTTTGGTCCTCTATTAATAAAACAGTTGAAATGTCGTTAAATACAAGGGCATTTTAGTCTTCAATTATGAATTTTTTCAAAAAAATAAATATAAAAAACATAGTGGGGCAACCTACTTTATATTAAAAAAAATATTTAAATGTCTTTGTATTTAACGATATTTCAACAATTTTGTTGACAAAGGACCAAAAATGGTCATGTCAAAATAATACTAGGATCAAATAAGGATGTTCTGATTAAAAAAAAAAAAAAAAAAAAAAAAAAAAAAAAAACTATAAGTAGATTGTCACATATAAATCTATGATCAAAAAATGAAATTAACTCTTAAATTAACAAATTCAAAATTCATGATTTAGATTTCATTTACCTGGTTGATTAATCCATTTACTTAGTAATAGGTAAATTTTATTATGTATATATTGAAAGGAAATTGCCTATTACTCTCCCTCTTAAGTACAAACGGTCAGGGCATGATGTGGGACGCTTGGGATGGGTGATTTCATCTTTTTATCGCCAGAAATTGCTTATTACTCTTACAGTTATCATTTCATATTAGCCATTCTAGATTTAAAAATAAATTAAAATTATTTATTTTGATGGATTTATTAAGTAATTAGTTAAATTTAATGTCCAGTAAAATAATGACAAGCAGGGACGGAGCCAGGAATTCTGCTGAGCGGGGGCGAAGAAGCAGGGACGGGTCTATAAATTTTTTCAAGTGGGGGCGAAACATGAAAACAAAATAGATAATTTGAAGAAAAAAAATACCCAAGAAATATAGGTATAAATATTGTTGGATAGGGGTGAAAAATAAAACGCATCAAAATTTTATAAAAATATTCATAACAAAATATTTAAAACATAATTAATTTGATAAAATAATTTAAAGTGTGTGTGTGTGTTTTTTGAGAAGAAGAACTTAATTCATTATATCACATAAAAGGCAATCAACAAGGAAATGAGGAGGATCATCAAACCACTCCACGCAACCTGACAAAGAAACAGCCTCCCGAGCAACAATGTGGGCGGCGTGGTTCGCAGATCGCTTAACAAAACAGAAGTCTATATCATATCCTTAATTAATCATGGATGCAACTTCGTTAATGTCATCAATAATAAAACCAAAAGCATATGTAAAAGAATTCGAACGTAAAGCAAAATAAACTAATTGTGAATCGGTTTCAATATCCACTTCTCTCATTCCGGTATCTTGAGCCAACTAATGTCTATCTATATATAATATGTAGATAGACCTTAGTTCAGGTGCGGCCGCGCCTTAACGTGCGATCAGTGGGCCGCATTAATAGTTATGCAAATATGCACCAACAGTGTTAAGAAATTCACAACAACAAAAAATGCACCATTAGGTATGCATCACCAAAAAACGCACCATTAGGTATGCATAAAAGCACCACACAGTGTTCGGAAATGCACAATTAGGTGTGGGGAGGTATGGTGCATTTTTTTGGTGTGTTGTACGTTTTGTGATGTATTTGTGCATTTCATTGTTGTGCATTTTCCTAACACTATCGGTGCATTTTTAAGCGGCCGCACCGATCTTACGTTAAGGCGCAGCCACATTTGAGCAGAAGTCTGTGTGTATATATATATATATATATATATATATATATATATATATATATATATATATATATATATATATATATATATATATATATAATGTACAAAGCATTATATGACTTTTTTTAGGGTTACGAGGAAAATTCGTGGTTATTATTTGTGAGAGTGCACCAGGATCGATTTGTGGCCCCCTTCTTGTAAATAAATGACCCTCTACCAAAAGTATAAGCGCAAACTTTAAAACCATACCAAACCATAAGAGTCCTACTAACTTACTATCCCCAAAGTCCAAACAAATAAAAAAAAATCTTGAAAATACATGGCTAGTGCCTAGCAGTTCGGTTGCCGCTATCGTTTGGAATGGAAATAGAACGATCTGTTAGGGGAAAGAATCAATTTCTCAAACGATATTGGTGATAAACTGGTGAATGGTACATGTTTCAAAAAACAAAAAAAAAAAAAAACAAAACAAAAAAAAAACAAAACAAAACAAAACAAAACAAAAAAATTGAAATTTTACGAGCTCAACAGGCACGTGTAGTGTGCAGGCCTACTAGACGCTCCAGGTGTGCCTGATGCAAGCAATGCACACAGCTTTTTTCCTAGAGAGTGAGTCTCACAAAAAACTCTCATTTGCAGTAATTTTTTTCTTCTATTTCCTCTCATCTCAGTCCTCCACCTATTCTAAAAAACTGAGAAAATCCACAAAAAATAAAAAATAAAAAAAATAATATATTCTATAGTTGCTCTTATAATACACATCATTATAAAATTTACCATGATGAGTGTTAAGCCTATGTGTGGCTAGTATTTAATTCAGTTATTATTTGTTATATTTATGTTCTGTAGAATAGAGTAGTTGTTGCAACTTCCTTCTCTTTACTCTCCTCTATGTACTATATATAGCTCATACTTTACATCAATAAAGGTACAGTTTCTTTCCTCACATGGTATCAAGAGCCATAATCCCTTATGAGACTATTTCGTCGAACAATTTGTCCGCCACTATATAACTTGTTTTATAAATAAAATCAATTTAATTATAGCTTTAAAGTTGTTTTAGGGCCCCCAAAAGAAAGTGAACACATCCTCACCAATATCATGAGACATGGAAGCATATAGAGAGCAATTAATTAGGTTATGGTCACGTTTTTGTAAAGTGTTTTCTCTTTTGAGTGAAAACGACACTCTATATTTGCTGCCTCTTCAGCTCCCTATAGTTTTATCCATTATTTCTACTATTCTATTGTCCATTCTAATTATCAAATTACTTTCATATATAGAATTAATTAAAATCGTTTTGTTTAACATTTTAACACCACTCTTTTTAAAAATTTATTAGATTTTAATTTTGAAGTAATTTTTTTTTTTGTAATTTGTAATATAATATACAATATTAATTTTCAAACATTGGCATTAATAATATAATTCTATTGATATAGGTCAATAAAATTACAGAATAGTTCATAACAATTTTGTGCAAAGTGCGATGTAATGTATTCTTCACAGTACAATTTAAATTAAGATAAGATAAGATGTGTCGCTCTCGGCTCAACCGTAGACTGAACCTCATCATCTTTGGAACCTAGACTAGTTGAGCTAGGTTAAGATAATAGTAGGTGAATAGATGGATGGCTTCCTTTTTTCCTCACTTAATTTGCTTTCTTTTAGGTTTTCCTTTCTGTCACCAAAGGCTCCACACAAAACCCTTGATAGAGAGAAGCTACATATAGCCCTAACTTTTGCTTTATAAGTAGTAAAGCAGTAACTCATCCAAGTAAAGCTTGAACTAATAAAGGGAAAGGATTCATGTCTCTTTCTTTCTATTTTTATTTTAAAGAAATAAAGAGATTAAATATATCAATTTTCTAATCTTATAAGTGTATTAACAACATCCAACACCAATTCATTTAAACACCTTTTTTTGGTCACGAGGGAACACGCAATCACTATACGATCGAAGGTGTGAACTCTGCACTGGTAAATCCCGCATTGTGACCTAATCCGTAAAAAACCACAAGAAAGTAAATCAGTCTAGATTGTGTATAACTAGTTGACTCAAACCAAGAAGGTTAGAATTTGAATTCGTGATCTTATAGTTACAAGTTTGTATCTTGGTTGGGGTTATCCCCCATTTTGTGTATAGTACATGATTGGAGTAGTGGACTGCTCAAATCCTTATCCCGAGCATACTCTTAAATTTAGTCCTTATTTTCCGATAGGTCACCCATTGCTCCCCTCCCAAATTCCACCCCACCCCACCCTCACCCACCCACCAGGTACCCCAATACTTTCTTTCAAAGAAAATTAGAGAAACTCAAGAGCACCATGGCTGATCTCTTGGTGCAGCTAGCCATGAACTCAAGATGATTATTCCAAAGAAGATGAAGAAGGGTCTGATCTGATCTAACACTTAACTCTCTCTCTTTCTCCCTCTGTATGTATCTGTATATATATATATATTAGAGCATAAATTATTTACTACAAATTAAAATGCAGCACCCCTCAAGCAACAATTCCTTCAATAATTATTACAACAGCCCCATATTATCCCCATCCTCATCTTCTCTATACCACATTCCCTCTTCCCCTATCCACTATGAAGACGAACTGCTCCTCCTGCAAGCCCTCATCCTCCAACAGCAGCAATCACAGCCGTTGATTATGGAGGAGGATGAGGAGAGCAAGAAAGCCCAGATCACCATTAACGCAGACCCCCCCTACAAAAACGACGAAAATGGAGGCCCCAACAAGAAGAGGGCTCCCAGCTGCAGCAAGAAAGACCGGCACAGCAAGATCACCACCGCGCACGGCCCTCGAGACCGCCGGATGCGGCTATCCCTGGACGTGGCTCGCGAGTTCTTCGATCTCCAAGACACTTTGGGGTTCGACAAGGCGAGCAAGACGGTGGATTGGCTCCTAACCAAGTCCAGTTCCGCCATTAGAGACCTCGCCGCTAGCCTCGGCCTCAGCCCTTCTTCTGAATGCGAAGCGCATTGTGATGAAAAGAAGGAGAAGAAGAAGAGGGCGAGGGCGCCTCGTATCCGAGCCGCATTCCTGGCCCTCACCAAGGAGTCCAGGAAAAAGGCAAGAGAGAGAGCTAGAGAGAGAACGATGATGAAGAAGAAATTGGAAGAAGAAGAAGAACAACAAGAACTCTCCTCCCAGTCCCAGATGGGTAGTCGTGTAAATAAGCAGCTTTCAGGGACCTACCAGCAAAATAATGGCGGAATCTTTTCGCAAGAACTACAAGACGACGACCTGGAGGTGGAACTGCTCTCCTCTCACTTTCATATTCATGTTAATAACCAGCTTTCTCCTTTCAGGGATTTCCCACCAGGTAATAATTATATTAATTCTAACTCTTTTTTTTTTTTTTTTTGTTTCAAAAAAAAAAAACTCTTGTTATATAGAAAAAAAAAATATCAATTAATATACCTATCTATAGTAATTGTTCCAAACTTATATATAAAAAAAAAACAATTAATATACCTATCTATAGTATCTGTTTCAAACTGGGTTGGGACTCAAACCTATGACTTTTCAAGTGAAATGATAATACTGATGTCATCAAATCACAAGGTACTCGTTGATGCACCATACGTTTTTAGCATCTATACAACATTATGCATCAAATATTTTTTTTTGTGAGTACTATTGTCTCTATTATAATGTAGTATCTATTCATATATAGTTTCCCAATCTACTGAAGCAGAAAGAGTCAATGGCCCTAATTCAAACTTGTGACCTCTCATTTGGACAAGACCTATTGTTATTAATCTATTTAGAAAGAATTATTTTAAAATCAATTAATAATAACATGCCACAATAGAATTTCAAAAAAAAAAAAATGGTATGTCTAAATTAAACAGTATTCATTTGATAGAAATTGTGATATGTGTCATTATATTTCAAATAAATGGATTACCCTAAATCAACCAAATCCATTTAATTCAATAAAAACATATGAAGTCGTGTGAATTTTGATATAAAAGATAATATAAATTTAGTTTGGGTGTAGCATTACCCTACAATATAACTCAATCAAAGAAAAAAAAATTATAGATATTTTTAATAAATTTCTCACAATTAGAGATTTATATATTACACTTTTAAGCCATTTTCAACATTGGAAAATTTATAGCTATCATTTTTATTGCTTTTTAATTGATCTACAACATTATTATGGAGTATATTTTATGTCATTTTATGAATTATACGATCAATTTTAAGGGTTTTTTTTTATAAAAATAAATAAATAAATAAAAAGAATTAGCAGAAACAATTTGGTGACTTTCAATTTTGTGCAGAACTTTGGGAAGCCTGCAACAAGGGAGATCTATGAGGGCAACCCCTTTCTTCAATTTCTAGAAGAAGGCTACGTGGTTAGAGGATGGTAATTAACTAATAATGTAAGTGAATTTTTTTAGTTTGGGATTTTTTTCTTTGTATTTTAATTTAATTCAGTCTTGCCAATGACCGTCTAGTGACACAAAATGGTTCTCCTAAATGAAAGGTCACAAATTCAGTTTCTTCTCCTCCTTTTTTTTCCTTTTAATAAGTTATATATCTATTAATTGTTGAATTGATGATAACCACATTAAAGACATATCTGCTTCAGTCTACTATTCTTATTCTCAAATCTTGCCCAACATAATACTATCAATGGTGCAAATTTAAAAGAAAAGAAAAAACTAAACAAAACAAAAACAAAAAAAAAAACAAAGGCATTTACAATGATTACCATAGATTGTTCATATCTTTCTACTTTATTCTACAATTTCAAATAATATATTTTCCCACTATCTTTGTTTTTAATGAAAAATGAAAAATGAAAACAACATTATTATTATTATTATTATTATTATTATTATTATTATTATTATTATTATTATTATTATTATTATTATTATTATGGTTCTGAATGAGCAAATTTCTAGGGGGAGGGGGAGGGGGGGGGGGGAGAATTGACATTAAAAATGATAAGATTTTGCAAGACCTGGTGAATTAATATATCAAGAATACACTAAAGTGATATTGAAATCTTAACTAATTAGTCTTTACAAAATTAGAGATTGCAAAACACACATGTATATCTCTTTCAATAGTGACATTATTCTACAAATTAATATAATTAGACTCTTCTAAAAAGATTTTCAGAAAAAAAAAAGACTCTTCTAAAAAGTCAATCTCAAGGTCAACCAATTTCTTCTCATATAAAAGTCACCCACTAACATTCGTAAGGATACGATGGTCATAGGAGGTAAATGAAAAACACACTAAAAAAAAAAAAAAGACGCGAAAATAGCGACACAATTTTTCATCGCTAAATCGTATAGCGACGGGTTAAGTTCGTCGCTAAAAGTTGCCTCGCTAAATTCCTACCATTGGTGATGTAATAATCAAGGGCACATATATATACAATAATAATACATTATAAATAGAGAAGAGACATAATACCTAACACGTTCATTTTACTTTTAAAGAACTCTAAACTTAATTAATTAAGTTGCATTAGTCATCGTAAGCCAAACTCTTTCCAATAAATGCAAACCTTATTCATAATTTCCTTAGTTAAATATGGTACCATCAAATCAAATATATACTTATTGAAACAATACTAACAATATATATTTACGTAATTAAAATGATACTTCAGCGTTACTACGATGAAACTAATGTATGTGAAAAATGAAATTAAAAAAAAAAAAAAAAAGTTCATGCAATAATGTATATTGTCAAATGAACATAACGGAAAAACAAACGATGGATGTAGAGAAGTTACACAAGAGTAGAAAGGGAGAATCTGTTTCATTAGCTGTACTGGAATGAAGAGACAAGTATATATACAAAGGGAATTGGGCGGCAAAGGCCGTTAGGCCGTTACAACTGATTCAAGAGAACAGAAAGCATAAAGACCTAAGAGTCCTTGGTTACGTTTTGGCTTGATCATGCTGCTCTTCATTTAGATTCTGCGTATTCTTCAATACCCCCCCCCCCCCCCCCATAAGCTGGGGCATATGAGTCATGTGTACCCAGCTTAGATTTGAAACGATTGAACAGTGAAGCAGGAAGGGGTTTTGTGAATCCGTCGGCAAGCTGATTTTCAGAGGTGACAAACAGGAGCTTTATTAAGCCTTGGGTGAATTTTTCTCTAACGACATGACAATCAATGTCGATATGTTTTGTGCGTTCGTGGAATACATGGTTTTCTGCAATGGCCACCGCCGATTTGTTATCGCAGAAGATGGTTGCTGGCTTGGTTGTGGGGACCTTCAGATCATGAAGCAGGTATGTCAACCATTGAATTTCGCAGACAGTGGCTGCCGGAGCTCGATATTCCGCTTCAGAACTAGACCGGGAGACAGTCGGTTGCTTCTTCGAACGCCATGAAATGAGAGAATCACCAAAAAATATGCAGTATCCAGTAATGGATCTATGTGTTTCAGTGCATGCAGCCCAATCGGAATCCGAAAATGCTTTGAGCTGTAAGTCAGATTTTGTAGGATAGAACAGCCCCTGCCCTGGTGAGTTCTTGATGTATCGGAGCACTCTATAGGCAGCAGATAGATGTGTGTTCGTAGGAGCATCCACATGTTGGCTCAATTGTTGGACAGCGAAGGTGATGTCGGGTCTAGTTGCGGTGAGATATAGTAATCTCCCAACTAACCTCCTGTACATGCTAGCATCAGTGATAGGCACACCCTCATTATGAACCAATTTCAATCCTTGAACCATTGGTGTATTTGTTGGCTTGCTGTCCAGGAATCCGGCTTCATCTAAAATTTCGAGGGCATACTTTCGTTGATTTAGGCTTAAACCATCAGAGTTCCTGTGAGCCTCTATTCCCAAAAAATAGCCCAATGGTCCCAAATCTTTTATTTTAAAAACAGTGTCCAGAAACCTTTTGAGACTGTGAATGAGCTCCATGTTTGCACTTGCAACAAGGATATCGTCAACGTAAACAAGGAGAGCAATGAAGTTATCCTTACTATCACCCTTGGTGAATAAAGATGGATCGGAGGTGGACTGTTTGAATCCCTCATGAACCAAAGCAGTGCTAAGTTTGGCGTTCCATTGCCGGCTTGCCTGTTTTAACCCGTACAAGGACCTTAGAAGTTTGCAAACTTGATTGGGTTTCTCACTCTCAAAACCAGGTGGCATGGTCATGTATACTTCCTCATTAAGGTCCTCGTGTAAGAACGCATTGTTGATATCCATTTGGTGAATGTGCCATGATCTGGAAACAGCAATGCTCATGAACAATCGTATTGTGGTCAGCCTTGCAACTGGGGAAAAAGTTTCAAGATAGTCTATTCCAAGTTGTTGCGTATATCCTTTTGCAACTAGCATCGCCTTGCATCTTTCAAGCGTGTCATCCGCTCTAAGTTTAACTTTATATACCCACTTACACCCAATCGGTACTTTCCCTGGTGGCAATTCAGTGAGTTCCCAAGTATGGTTCTCTTGAAGAGCACTAATTTCTGCATTCATAGCTTGTTTCCAGCAGTCTTGTTACACAGCCTGTTTGTAGCTCTTTGGCTCAGTGATGGAGGTCACAGCAACGGAGAGCATTTTATGTGAAGGTCCAAGGTTATCATAAGTCACCACCTTTGATAAGTGGTGAGGGGACGTTCTGTTTTTGACCACATTATCACAATAATATCCTTGGAGTCTGCTAGAGGGTTGACGATGTCTACTGGATCTCCGAGGGTGTTGTGAGACATTATGCTGCAATGTGGAGTCTAGAGACTGTTGTGCATGATCAGGAGGATTGAAACTGCCAATACCATCTTCAGGAGTGTTACTAGGGATGGGGTCTGTTGCTGGCAGGTTTTCATTATCATCATAGTGACTGCCAATGTGGGCAGAATCCAGAGGTTGCACTTCATCCTCAATTTCATTGTGTAAGGGGAGATCATCTGATGACCCTTCATTGCTTTGGAGCCGAATGTCAATATCCATTTGAGGGTTGAATTCTTCGATTGTCGTTATAGGAATATTAGGCAAGGAGGGAATCATAACTTGCGATTCAGAGTCCACAGATTGCGCCAAAGGAAACTGATTTTCGTAGAAAACAACATCACGAGATATGAAGATGGCTTGATCAAGAAGGTCATACAATATATAGCCTTTCACGCCTGCTGGGATTCCCACAAATATACATCTTCTACTCCTTGGTGCCAACTTATGCCTTGCGGATGATAATGTGGCAGCATAGCATAGGCATCCAAAAGTCTTTAAACTTCTGAGATCCGGGCTGTTTCCATATAGTTTGTGGTGAGGGCTTGACCAGTTAAGAACAGCCGATGGTAGCCGATTGATTAGATAAACGGCATGAATCACGCACTGCCCCCAAAACTGGAGAGGGAGACCAGCTTGAAAACGGAGAGCCCGAGCAACAGCCAACACATGCTGGTGCTTGCGTTCTACAATAGCGTTCTGCTGGGGGGTATTGACACACGAGCGTTGGTGAATTATACCATTCTCATCAAAGAAGTCTTCCATCTTGAACTCTGAACCGTTGTCGCTGCGTAAGATCTTGATACTCACCCCAAACTGAGTGAGCACCATTCTGTGAAACCTTCTTATTAATTCCCTGGTTTCTGCTTTGCTCTTCATCAACCGAATCCAGGTATATCTTGACCTGTCATCAACAATGGTCAAGAAGAATCTTTCCCCTCCCACTGATCTCACTTGGAAAGGGCCCCATATATCGACATGGATTAAATCGAAGCAGGCAGCTGAGAGAGTCTTGCTTAAGGGGAAGGGGGATCGTCTGTGTTTGGCAAGATGGCATGTATGACATATTAAATTCTTTGCATTAGGAATTGAAATACCATCAAGAAAGTGCATTTTATTCACGGGAAAATGTCCCAAACGGTTATGCCACAATTCAACATCACTACACTGCAAAGCAAATTGACTACAAACATTAGTCTTGATTCTTGGAGGATCATTCAGCAGGTACAGCCCCTTTGCTTCTTTAGCAAAGCCAATCGTCCTCCCATGGTCCTCCCGAAGAAGACACTGACCATAGGTAAAAACCAAAGAGTGAGAAGAATTTTGGAGAAACTTATTGACAGATATTATGTTGAATTTAAATGAAGGTATATGTAGAGCATCCTTCAAGTAAAGATCATCGTTGAGCCGTATGGTGCCAATGTGTTCAACAGTGGCACATTCTCCATTAGGCAAATTTACCAATACCCCTTTCATGGTGTGATTCTCATCAAAAAATTCAAGAGAACACACGATATGATCAGTCGCGCCAGAATCTACAATCCAAGTAGATGCAGTTAAGGTAATGGAATTGGCATTCATGAGGGTGGTATACTTGCCTTCATTACCAGAACTTCCTTGGTTGAATCTTGGAACTAGAGAAGCTGCAGCTGTAGTGGATGGATGGTTCTGCCCCGTTTGATTGTGGAGAAGAGACAGAAGGCCTCGAATCTGCTCAGGAGTCAGGTTGTTCTCAGAG